AGAGGCTATAAAGGTAATTATTACCTGTACCTTTCAAACTGATTTTAATTTTCTAAATTTTCCATAGTGAATAATGCATTGCTTCTGTAATAAAAAAGAAAAGCAATTACACACACACACACACACACACACGCGCGCGCACACACACACACACACACACACACACGGAGCGGGGGAAAGAGAGAGAGAGAGAGAGATCTTTTGAAAGAAAAGAAGACGCAGGCCTCCAGGCCCAGGCTGAGGATCCTCACTTAGGCCACTGTGACAGCAACTTGGGGTAAGATCCAGTCTTCCCCCCTTTCTCAAGATCACTAAAAATGCAGAAAAATCCTTTTTAGAGGATTTTCTTGCTGACCACGTCTAGGAAACAGAACAAAGTGGCTCACATGGGGTGGAGAGACTCTGGAACATCACAGAGATCTTCTACCCACAGCACCCCCTCCCCATCCATTGCTTATGCTTCCGTTCTTAGGTGACTCTCAGAGGTCTGAGTTTCAGAGGCTGCAACATGTCAGAGCTAAGCTGCCTAAATTCTAGCTCCAAAGAGCTCTCTGTTTGCTCAGGCTGTTGAGTCTGGAGGACACTTCAACCTGCCTGGCAGGTAGTGGGTTCTCAACAAACACTTGGTGAGTGAGTGAGAGAGTGGGTGGGCGGGTGGATGCATCCTCTGTTTAGCTTGTTCTAAGTCCTCTCTTGTTTGCAGTTGTAAGGTGAGAGGGTTTTAGTTATAGTTCTTGGAAGCTCTGCTCCTTGCAATACACCAGTTCTCCCCCCAGGATTCCCAGAGCAGCTTCAAAACAAGCTGTTGCCCAAAATTCTTGTTTAAATGGGTCTGGAGGAGGGGGACAGACATCAGTATTTTTTTTTTTTTTTAGAGATAGGATCTTGCTGTGCTGCCCAGCCTGGAGTGCAGTGCTGCAATCATAGCTCACTGCAGCCTCAGACTCCTGGCCGCAAGCCATCCTCCTGCCTCAGCCTCCTGAGTAACACAGTCTTGTGACCCCATGCCCAGCTAATTTTTGTTTCCATTTTTTGTGGAAACAGTATCTCACTTTGTTGCCCAGGCTGGTCTCAAATTCCTGGGCTCAAGTAATCCTCCTGCCTTGGCCTCCCAAAGTGTTGGGATTGCAGGTGTGGGTCACTGCACCCCACTCACGTCAGCACTTTTGCACCCCTCAGGTAACCTCCTGTGAGCCGGGACTCAGGATCATTGCTTGTGGCTGCACTCTCAGCTCCTGTCCCTGTTTGAGGGACAATTACAGGTCAGTTCCATTTGCAGACCCATAATGACTGGCAGGCTCAACATAGATAATGAAGCCCTTTCTGGCCCAGGGCATCATCTTCTTGGGACTTCAGTAACTCATATAGGCACCAAGCAGCCCCTCTCTCCTTCCTTTGCTGGTATTTTGAGAACCCTAGTTTTATAATAGCAAGTTGATTCACTTATTCAGACACAGCTGTAGTTGTCATGTACACCAGAGAATGAGGAGGGTTAATTCTTTAACACTTTTACTTAAGAGGGGGGAAAATGTATTATGGGGGAGTCTGTAGTCTTGAAATATCTGCAGGATGAGCACACATCTCAGCAAGCCCAGACCTTCCTCTCTAGAGAATGGCTCAGGAGTGTCTTCGGAGATAACGGTAGTATCGCCACAGCCCCGTGAGCAGCTTCTTTGCAGCTCTAATCTCAACTGTAATTGATTAATTTTTTGTGCACAGCTGGGTGTCTGGTAAGGAAGAGGTTTAATTTTGTTTTCTGTAAGAAAGACAGTTGCTATGCAGGTCTGAAAGAGCTGCAAGTTCAGAGGACAAATTTACAGAAGGAGAATGAGATTAAAAGTTGTAGACTCCCAGGGCAAACTGGATTAGCTCATGGTGTGGTCAGGCAATGCAAACCCCTAGGCGGGGTTCACCCTGAGGGTGGAAGGAAGCAGGAGGCAGGACAAGGAGTCAGGTCACAGAAAGAGAATGGCAATTGTGAGCTGGTGGACACTGGGGAGGGGGGTTCCTGACCTTGTCATCCTGGGGGCAGATTTGGAACTGAATCTAAAGATCTGTATGTCTTATTTTGATGTGATGCACCTTGTGCAAAATTGTCCTCCTTAGAGGCAGTACAGCATGGTAGCCAAAGATGGTGACTCTGGTTCAAATCCTGGTCGATTGCTTATTAGCTGTGACCCAGGAGGGTTTCTTAACCTCTCGAAGCCTCAGTTTTTTCATCTGTAAAATGGAGATAATCCTAACATCTCTTTGAGGGTTTTGTTTTTTTTGTTTGTTTGTTGTTTGTTGTTTTGTTTTGCTTTTTGAAATGGGATTTTACTCTGTAGCCCAGTCTGGAGTGCAGTGACACAAGATAGCTCACTGCAGCCTCTATCTCCCAGGACCACGCAATCTTGCCACCTCAGCCTCCGAGTAGCTGGGACTACAGGTGTGCTCCACCACACTCAGCTAATTATTAAAATTTTTAGTGGTGATGAGGTGTCACTGTGTTGCCCAGGCTGGTCTCAAACTCCTGGGCTCAAGTGATCCTCCTTCCTCAGCCTTCCACAGTGCTTGAATTACAGACATGAGCCACCACACCTGGCCTTAAAGTTGTTTTAAGGATTTCATGAGTTAATGTATGAAACATACTCAAAATGATACTTCATCCGTAAATTGCAAAATCACCCAATAACAATTGAATGTCAGTTGTTTTTATTATTAACACCTTGAAGAGTAATGACAACCTATGTAGAAATTGCACTGTCTCTGGAGACTGAGATCTAGCTGCCATCAGCACCAGGAGTAGCAAGTTGAGAATGTATTTGGGGTTTCCCTGGCCCAGTAGGTACACCATGGGGCATACTTGGTAGCATGAAACCCCATTCTGAAGCTAGCATCTCGGTGGAAGTTATGACGTACCAGAGCCTCCAGGAATCACATCTGGGTTCCAATTCAGGCTGCAAGTCTGGAGAAAGCTGGACTGAACACTTAGGAGCCCAGAGTGACCTGGAGACTTAGGAAGAGAACCAAGGTGGGAGAGATCATACTTCTTGCTAAACTGGCAGGTGGAGGTCTAGGACTTGGGCTCTGAGGGACACTCCTGAAAATTCATACTTTCGCACAGACTGCAGGGGTAGACTGTCCTCCCCAATGTGCCTGGAAGGGCAGTTACCATGCCTACCCAACACCACCTTATCCCCAGTGCTTGACATCTGCTGAATATTCACTATCTATCATTAGGAGGAATGAATGAATGAAGCACAGTTCTCAAAGTCCTTTTACATCTCTGATCTCATTTAATTCTCATAGTAGCTCTATGAACTATGCAGGCCAAAAATCCTTTTTCTAATTTTACTATGCAAACTACCACAAGACTCTTGCAATAGGCAAGTTTCCAGATTTCATTCCTCTATGACCCCTCACTGTTCTTTCTACAACATGTATCTTCTAAAATATCTTATTTGTGCTGAGTACAGTGGCTCATGTCTGTAATCCCAGCACTTTGGAAGACAGCGGTGGGAGGATTGCTTGAGGCCAGGAGATCAAGACCAGCCTAAGAAACATAGTGAGACCCTGAATTATTTTTGTTTGTTTCTGTTAGGAGTTAAGGGCAATATGGTTTCATCACCATCGTCCACCTAGACTTTGTGGAGTGTGTAAGTCACTTGACCTCCTTGCCAAGCATCCCCTGGCTATAAAGACAATTATTTCCTCCACTGCCCTGGAACCTGGACCTTCTGCCCATGAGAACAGACAGATTTCTCCCTCAGCCCATGGGCAGCATTAATGAATAGCGGCTGGGGACCCCGAGGCCTTGGCACAGGCGACTCTGCTGCCAGCAGGAATGGTGTTGTGTCCCTATGTGTTGGCTGATTCGGGGATTTCTCATTCCCAAGCCAAGGGGAAACTGTCCTCACTGCCTGGAGGGGAGACGTTCTGGTGCCTTCTTCCAGCATCTTCTCTAAGCTAAGAGTTTGCAGATAAGCAAAAGGAAGTAATTTTGCTGCTATGTAGATTTTCCTTCGTGTGCCTGCACCTACGATCAGGTGCACAACGCCACATTTGTGGGAAGAATACATTATTTCAGAAGCAGCAGATTTTCTCAGAAGGGAGATAAGGTGAGAGTAATTTCCTATGAAAACACATTTTTGCAGCCAAGGAAGTGGCTGGAGGAAGAGGATGGATGGGGACAAGAAACAAGGGGACTGGAATGAGAAACAGTTCATACATGGGTCAAGAGGATTCAAGTTTTATTTATTTAATTATTTTTGCCCATAATGTTTCCAATATGGATCCCGAAACCAGATGCAGGGTCTTGGAGGGCGAGAGGATTTCCCCTTGCTAAGTGTCCCTTGGCTCTTTCTGCAGCGCTCGAGAACATCTGCTGACTAATGCTGGGCAGATAGATTTACCTCCCTGGTCTTCAGCTTGAGAAAGCTGAAACTGAAATGGAACCATATCCAAAGAACAACCATATCTCAGTTTCAGCCCATTTCACTGTCAGTTGTAGAGGGTATCCCTAGAATGTTATTACTAATACTAGTGTAGGTTTTGAAGTGTGCAAGGGATGTGCTTTTTATTTTTATAAATGAGGGCAGGCTCTATTGTCACTCAGTTGCATTCTGACACACTTTCTTAGATGGGAGGGGGAAAACTGAAGAACCTTATTGTTACCCATTTCTTAGATGAGAGAACTGATGGCCCCGAGAGTTCAAAGGAGCTTGTTCAAAGATTTACAGCCACTAAGTGTAGAGAGGCAAGATTCAAATGTAGGCAGTATGGTTCTCAAGTCCATGCTCTTTGCTGGCTGTCAAGTAGAGGGACAAGGCTAAAGAAAACCAGAGGATGAGCATCAGAGTTGGAGGACCCTTGAGGTTACCTAGTCCCATTCTCTTTTTCTGGAAAGAAGAAAGCAGTGCCCCCCACCCCAACAAAGGGCGTGATTTACATAAGGGTGCAGAGTAAGTTAGGGGCAGAGCTGAGAAGAGCTAAGCTTCTGGCTCTCCCAACAGAGAAGATTTCAAATAATTCTTAACAGCTCTAGGACCTTGAAATTCAAGGGACAGTAACTTCTTGGCTTAGGTGGGAGCCCAGTCCTCAGTGGCTTAGATCTGAATGACCATGTCTACACAAACCATCATCCAGATGTTCCCAAGAGTCAGATGCTCCCAAGAGTCAAGTGTCTGTGACAGAATGGGCTCAAGTGATTGGAAAATGTCTTCTCACTTTCTCTCTGCTGCCTTTCCAATCTCATCAAATTATTTCTTTTGGTTTTCTTTCCAACATACTGGTGTTCACATCCTCTCTGTTCTTTCCTGTTCCCCATTCTATCTGGGGGAGTTTAGGCTCTTTTCCCTAATCCATGTCATTTTTCAGAATAATTTTTTGGTTCATTCCGGCTTTGATTTTACCCAAATTTCTTAGGACTGACTCAAAGGAAAAAGCATTTTGTTAAAATAGCTGCGTTGCTTTTAAACAATTTGTCCTCCTACTCACTTTTTCTTTTTGGAAGACAGAAACTGAATATAGATTTGTGGGAGAGAGATAAAGAGGGAACCGGAGAAGAGGAGTAGAGAGGAAGAAGGGGAGAGGGATAGAGTCTGGGTAAAGGGGATGGGAGAGAGAGGAGGAGAAAGAGAAGAGACGGGGAAGGCAGGACTGGAAGGAATTCGAGCTGCAGTGATGATGATGCAAGGAAGCTAGTATGAACCCTTTTCCAGTTTGGGCCATCTACAAGCAATGATTGAAGACTAGACTGTCTTTATGTCAAAAAGGAATCAGTGCCCAGCACCCTGCTGATCTAATGTTTCTGAATATGTAATTTCACTTAACAAAGGGAAGGAAGGTCCCTCTCCAGCCCCCTAATGAGGCCCTTAGGGAAGCCAGTGGCCTGAGACCAGAAGGAACAGGTACTCAACACAGGGATTTCTGCTGACTCTGTTTCTCCATTCATGACTCCCTTTGAGGAACGATTGAAAAATGGAGCTGTATGGCACAGTGGGACAGTACATGCATATTCAAATCCCTCCCTTCCAGCGCTAAACTTAGCTGCCACCTTGCTCATCCTGAATGCCTTCCTCCTCCGCCTGCCCGGTTATCCGCTCCACCTGTGCCCAGAAGCCAGCCTCATCTGTTACCCTAACGTCCTTACCTCGTCAATAACCACCCCTCACTTACCTCAGTCTCTCTGTCCCCCGACTGGCTCATCTTGAAACAAACTTGTTCCATTCTGCCTCCCTTCAAACTTCCAACCTCCGTAACCTTTTCCTTCACCCCATACCGTCTTCAGTTTCTCATCTTCCATTCATTTCTTGACATTAATAGCTAAAACTTAGCTTGGTTTTCCTGCATGCCCCTGTTGAATGCATCTCATGTGCACTAATCCACTTAATCCTTATCCCAGCCATACACAGATGGTGCCATTATTATCACACAGTCAGTAAGTGGGGGAAGCAAGCCTTGAACCCAGGACTATCTGACTCACTACACCATGCTCTTAACAATTTGGCCCATAATAATTGCCTTCCACCAGCACATTTTTTCTAAGAAGAATCCTGAAGTGGCTTTTCATTCAGCCCCAGGTCCTTATATAGCCTCCTGTCTTCTTGCTCTCAATAATATTGTTTCCATCCCCACTTGATTTTTTTTAAGCCTATGTGGTCCATACTCAATTGGCAGGATAAAAATCACTGCACTTGAACGTTTGTTGGACCACACAGTCTTTAAATGCATTGTCATATGGTAGTTGCCAGAAGTATTGTTGAGAGGAGCAATATCTGGTGAAGGTTGCGGGATGTGCAGGTCCCTACTCTTCCAAGTATTCTGAGTACCCCTCCGGATCAAGCCAGAGCAGCAGCGATGACGCATAGTGTTGTAGTCAACAACAACAAACAACAACAACATGGCCATTGAGGGCTAACTGCATGCCAAAACTAAGCTAAACGCTTCATCAGTCAAACCTCATTTGACTTCCATAAGAACCCTGCGAGGGAGTTACTGTTATTTTTGCCCATTTACAAAAGAATATGCATTCCAGGAAAGTGAAGTGACATGCCTAAGGTCACCTGGCTAGTAAGTGGCGGAGCTAGGAAGCAACCCATCCTTCTTTCATGCTTCCAAGGACAGTGCACTATTGCTTTGGGGAGTTTGCCTTCTTCCCTCATTGAAGACACCATATCTTGTTATGTGACACAACATCCTCTTAGGGAGGAAGCCATCCCTAGCTGATCTTGGTACCAAGGAAAGTTGTGTGTATCTACATGTTCTAAATTTGATTTTATCTAGTATGTATCACACACTTGCTAAGTAGGTAGGGCTGTGATAAACACTTTACATATATCCTTTCACTTTACTTTCAAAAGCAACCCATAAGCTGGGTGTAGTGGCTCAAAACTGTAATCCCAGCACTTGGGGAGGCCAAGGTAGGAGAACTGCTTGAGCCCAGCACTTCAAGACCAGCCTGGGGAACATAGCAAGACCCCATCTCTATCTAAAAAAAAAGTAAATAACCCATAACTGTAATTTGTATCCCCATTAGAGGTGAAAACACTCAAACTCCGAGACATTAAGTCATTTGTCCAGGGACACATCTTAGAGTCTGCTTGCCAGCTCAGGTCAGCCTGACTGCAGTCTGCTCAGCCACCAATTTTTCCTGTTTTCTAAGCACTGCACATATGCAATAAACAGGCTTCCCTTAGTGAAGGGGCTGCAAGGAAGCTCAGTTTACAGTCAACCTTAGGAACTGCTTTTATCAGGAATGTAGTTCGTTATGATGTGCATGTTCATTACCATGCTTGGGTCTGCTCTGTCCCCACGTTTTCTTCCTCAGCCCAATTTTTAAATGATCTGATTTTGTCTTATTTTGTGTAACTAGACTCCCTTTCTAATTCTTTCTGGAACAAGATGGATATAAAGAAATAAACAAATAAATAAAAGATGGGTATAAATCAACAAATATATGAAATGTTTGTTGATTCAAAATTTTAATTCATAATGTTGACTTTGAGTGTTACAGTAGAGTTTCTGACATACAGTAGGTATTTTCTATCTCTGATGGTCTTTGTCCTAAGCTCATGCCTGCCCTGCTGAGGCCCAAGCCTCCGTAATACTCCAGGATTGGGCTTCCCACTGTTCTTAGCCACTGCCCCAAATCTTTCTTCCAAGTTGAGCTTTCTTTCCTAATAAGTGATAGCCAACCTTATTGAATGATTTTCATATTTTTTAGTACTGTTCTAGGGCCTTTTATAAGAATGGACACACTTGATCTTCACAGCAATCCTATCAGATAGTGATTATTCCCATTTTACAGATGAGGAAACTGAGGTACACAGGAATTAAGTGAATAAGGTCCCACAGGTAGTGGATCTACAAATCTAGGCAATCTTGTGCCACAGCTGTGTGCTGTGCTACCAACAGTTAGGAGGGCAAATTGGGTACCTCCATGTACTACCCCAGAGCATCTCTCAGAGTGAACCCTGTAGGGAGCTGGAGCAGGGATGGAGACACAGGCACGAAGGGCTCCCTGCAAGTGGGTGGCCACCCATTGTGTTGGTGGCTCAGACCCACAAGCTCATCAAAACCCTCTGAAATGCAAGGCTCCTACTCCTGTCAAATTGAACCTGCTTTGCAGATTTCAGTTTCAATCCTGCCAACTTGAAAGTTTTAGCATTTCAGCTGTTTCAGAATTATAAAAGCCTACAAAATGCTAAGGTGCTTTTTTTAGAGTTTAAAAAAAATGTGTCTTTTCCCCACCATCACATAACAATCTGAAGGGATTTTTTTTTTTTTCAGATTCTTGCCAAATGTGTATTTTTAAAGATTGCATTTGGCCAAAGACCAGAAGTGGAAAATCTGAGGGGAACGTTGAGGAAGTTCTAAGGCGAATTCATCGAGGAGGAGAGGGGAAGCTGTTTCCTTTCTGCAGAGCCCTGGGTCGTTTGGGAGGGATGCTGTTTACTGCTGCTTTCTTGCTACCTTTGTAGACAGTTTCCTTAAGATGCTGATACTTCAATTGGGCGGCCTAGAGGGAATCTGATCTGCATCCCTGGCCATGAAAGACCACCGTTACTGCATGCAAAGCTTCCGGTTGGGTAACTGTCCTCAGAAGCCAGATGGCCCCATGATGGAAAAAGTCATTCTACCCTTTGGGTCAGGCAAGAGATCAATTCTCACTAATTAAGTGTCTGGGGTGTGTGTGTGTGTGTGTGTGTGTGTGTGTGTGTGTGTGTTTATGTGTCACAGACTCTCTCCCAGTGTGAATCAGCTCAATCATCATTTTGCAGTGTTTCAGCTTCAGATTGCAAACATCCACCAACAAATGGGAGCCTTGCTTTCTAACGAGCCGGGGATGTGTGGAAAATAGAATCACTCACACTAGTAGTGAGCCGCAGATGTTCCATGGAGACAGCAGGCTGTGCCAAGCACAGACAGTATGTGTGGCCATGAGACAGGATGCAGAATCTTGCCATGAAAGTATTGCCCACAGAGCCCAGAAGATGAAGGCGAAAAGACAGTAGATAAAAAATCTGTTTTCTTTTTCCCAAGGCCTGGCCTTCCATACAGTTGCATGACACCACATTTAGAAATGGTCCAGGAAGCTGAACGTTTAAATTTGAATAACTGCCACCAAGGCCTTCACAAGCAAGGATGAGAGATACTCTTAAGGAAGGAGAAAAATGTGGGTTCAATTCCCAGGTCTAATACTTACTAACTGAGTGCCCTTGTAACCTTTTGGGACCTCAGGTTTCTCATCTATAAAAGGGACTTAACTTATTGGGTTGTTGTTAGGATTAAATGAGAGAGTGCAAGTGAAGCTGTTAGCATAGTGCCACTCATAGATGTTCAATAAACAGTAAGCTGCCATCATCATCATCATTACCACCATCACCATCACCATCATTTCTAGCTCTGTGATCCTAGCAAAGGTATCCCAATGCTGCTAAGTTTCATTTTTCTCTTCTATAAAATGGGAATAATTATGCCTATTTCACAGAGTTGAGTTAATGTTTATTAAATTCCAGGATAGTCCCTA